GAAAAAGCCAACTCAATAGTGTGTTAAAAATAGACTTTAGGATATTGTAAAACAAAAAACTGCTATATAATGTATTCTTAACCCTCCTTTATCTTCACATTTGCTTTACACCCTTTATCCTTGGTGGTCATTTTGACCCCAGGAGTTTAAAGCTCAAGAAAATGATCATATTCAAAATTGTTACCAAAATGTACGTTTCAAGTACTTTATGTTTCTTAGTTGACTAAATTGCCATTTAAATAAAACACTACCCCCACCTCCCCTTCCACCCACAGCATTATACATCCATCATTCCTATTATGTGACCATTGTAAAATATATAAATCACCATAAAATCTCACTGATTGACGCAACATTTTAAAGGATGATCTTTTTGCTGTTGTTAAAGGATCTATATTATTTCCATGTACAATTTGGGCATTTCAGAAATGTACAGTATATTATCAAGGATAGTAACATGTATTATGTTTTGGGGTCAATATGGAAATATTTCCCTTCCAGTGTCAGCATTCCAAAGGCATGCCGTTGCCTCCCTTTTTTGATTTCTGCAGAGATGGAGTACTCGAGTCCTGGACTCGGACTCGAGTCCTGGACTCGGACTCGAGTGCCGATTTTCGGGACTCGTGACTCGACTCGGACTCGTGCACTGATTGACGCGACTCGGACTTGGACTCGTGAATTCTCGGTATGCTGACTTGGACTCGGACACGGACTCGTGCATTTTCACGTACGCTGACTTGGACTCTGACTCGGACTCGTGAATTTTTCCCCCCACGATGACTCGGACTCGACTTGTACATTGACGCTCCGACTTGGACTCGGACTCGAGCAAGTTTTCTATGGAGTCTGATGTCCTCTATCCTGGTGTGTGCACCGGCTGCGAGGCGAGTTCACGTACTGGGCCCCGCTATTCCAGTCTAAAGATGTCTAGAGACACACCCCGCATCGTGCTGTATGCTTTCACACATTCTGCTTCCACATTGGAAAAGAGCAGCGCAAAATGCTCTATGTGGAAACAATATTGAAGAGAAGGCTCCGTAACACATTACTCTAAACATCGAGTTCAGACATAAAGGCTGTCTTGAACACTATCATCAGAGTAACGTGATCTAATCAATAAATAAAGATTCAGCCGATAACACGAAAGCACATGGCTACTTAACATACAGAATGACGTCATTTTGCATGCTAAGTAGCCATGTGCTTTCTGGGGCTAAATCTTCATCAGTAAACCGATTTAACCGGTAAAAGTTCCTTCAAAATAAGAGTCCCGATCTTATTACTATCAAAATAAAAGTGCAAAACGAAAACTTTACCATAGTAAAATATTGGCATACAAATATAATCACTTCTCTAAAAGGTAACTCATTTTAAACATAGTTTATTTATATATAATAATAATAATATTAATATTAGTAATAAGCTTTATATTTGTATAGCACCTATTACAAGAATTGTAGCCAAACTCGTTTCACAGCAGTTCATTAAACAGATTAGTATAACATGACAGGATAAAAGCAATGTAGAGGAGCAGCTAGATTTCAACACATATATCCACGAAGATTAATACATGAAGACTTGTGACTCAGACTTGACTTGGACTCTTCTTAGGTGACTCGGACTCTTCTTAGGTGACTCGGACTTGGACTCGGACTCGAACACAGGTAATGATGACTCGGACTCGGACTCGACTCGGACACTCCTTGGGTGACTCGGACTTGGACTCGGACTCGACTACGACTCTCCCTTGGTGACTCGGACTTGGACTCGGACTCGAAGAGTGGTGACTCGAGAGTGACTTGGACTCGTGAATTGGTGACTTGACTACAACACTGGATTTCTGCACTCCTGCGAAAATGAACAACCCAATGTGGGCTTGTAAGTGGTTCCCACCCAACTCCTAACTGTCCGCATGCATGCACCTCACAATAAACTTGACATTATGTATTTAAAGGTGAGGTCCTCACCTTTAAATTCATAATGTCAAGTTTATTGTCTATCAACCCTCTATTGATGGTGTTATGAAGAGCTCAATGCTGACTTCAGGTCTTAGACATGGCTGACAGCGTATCTTGTGGGGCCTGGAGCCATTTTCATTACATTACCCTGTTTTTCACGTGGGGAGCGGGACCGTGAGTAAGCAAGTTATGATCATGACAACACCCTTTTTCAGTTTCCTTAAATGTTCACCTGTTAATAATGCCATGTCACAGAATTAGGATCATGTTAATTTACTTGCTTTTTTCAGAAGCAAAATAGAGTTTCTTTCCACTTCTTTCAAGACCTTTACAGAAAATGACATTGCAATTCAATTTTTTCATTTGCACACTTAAAAAAACTAGGTAAGATGGTGTTGTGCAAGCCAATTGTTTTGTAATGAAGGAGACAACAATTTCCTTGCTCTGTTGAACATCTGATGTTAATATGTATTTGTTAACATAATCATTCTCAGAAACCCATTTTAATACTGCTGTCAATTCCTTATAACAGATACCTGATAATGGGTGAAAGGCGTTTGGTTGGCTTTGTAAGATATACCCAACAATAAAGTCTGCACACAACAAAAACGAAAGCAGACTAGTACTAAGACACATGGTATTTTATCTTTGTGGGATATTAATAGCAGTACAGTCTATAAGAGTCAAAAAAGGCCACAGGATTATCAAAGACCCCCATCACCCCAGCCACAAACTGTTCTGTCTGCTGCCGTCTGGCAGGCGGTACCGCAGCATCATCAGGACTAAAACCACCAGACTAAGGGACAGTTTCATCCCACAGGCCAAAAGACTATACACCTGAGCTTGCACGATATTTATTTTGATTGTTGTTTTTTATACACATTTTAGTATATTTTAAAAATTCCACTGTTGAGGAACCTGCGATCTAAGTTTTTCATACATTACATAATTACATCGTAGTTTGTTATGATGTTATGACAATAAACCTTTGCATTTTGAGATTAAAGCTCTCTTATTGTTTTCAGAGAGAAGCTGTTTTCACAATCATGACGAAGAGCGCATTGACTGAAAATAACTATTCAGAAAGGGAGGATACCAAGCAATACGTTTCTTTTTCAAGGAAATAAAATGCAAAGGAACTTCCCAAGGCAGTATAAAAGGAGACACCTCTAAAAGACACTTGCATTGGCAGAGAAGGGCAGGGCTGTGTACTTGCAGAGCTTTATACTACTATACACTGTAGTTAAAAGCTCTGGATAAAAGAACAGATTGAAGTGTTACCATGGTTCATCTATAAAAGGTAGGAAAGCATTTCTTTGTTTTTCATTGGTTCCAATCTTTTAAGACCTGAAATACTTTTTAAATGATGGCCTCACATGGTCTCAAACTGAAGCATAACTCCTCATATTAAATCTGTCTTTGTGGCTCCTGGAGTGGGCTGATTAGATTGGTCTTTAAATGTGGTCTACATTTTAATCTCTCAGGCTGCAGAGTTCACATGGCTGTTTGATCTTTGGTGTTCAGGTGTTGTGTTGAATGGTTTTCAAGTACTGTACTCAAGTATGTATTTGAGGTACCTGTACTTCACTTGAGTATTTCACTTTGTGCTACTATATACTTTACTTCACTTCATTTTGGAGGCAATTTTTAACTTGTTACTCAACAATATGTATTTCACAGTTTTAGTTACTAGCTGCTCTGCAGATGTTGAATAATAATGCAGAATAAAACATAAAGAAGAAGAAGATACACTTTAATAATCCCTAAGGAGAGAGGCTGCCAGGTACCCAGCGCCAAGGGAGCAGTTTCGAGGTTAGGTGCCTTGCTCAAGGGCACCTCGGCAGTGGCCTTGGAGGTGAACTAGCACCTCTCCAGCTACCATCTCACTCCATCTTCTTTTCTTTTTGGTCTGATCGGGACGTGAACCGGTGACCCTTCGGTTCCAAGACCAAGTCCCTACAGACTGAGCCACTGCTGCCTCAAACTAATAAACCATCATGTCTTATTATATGATAGGCACCCAGCAGTATATATCAAGATATACAAAATGAACCCAACCTCTACCAAGTGCAACATTGACATTAATTGAAAATGGGCCTTACTGCACAATGATTACTTTCACGTTTTGTACTTGAAGTATCTTTTGATGTCATTACTTTTGTAAATGTACTAGGGTAACATTTTGAATAAAGGACTTTTACTTGTTACAGAGGATTTTTACACTGTAGTAATGGTGCTTTTACTTAAGTAAAAGATCTGAGTACTTCTTACATCTCTGGTTATTTCCTATTACCTTTAGTGGGATGCTGTTTGGATAATCTGGACAGTGTGGGATTGCTGAGGGTGTATCAAAAATGGAGTACACTGATAAGGAGGTAAACCATTAAATGACAATAAAAGTACAAATACATGTCACATAAGCTATTGTTAATATAGTATGACTCGTTCAAAATAGAATGTAAACATACTGTAATGTTCTCAATTACCAAGGAACATAATGAAGAAACAGATCCCTCTCCTGACCCGGGCTGTGAGGAAGGAAAGAACACTCCAGCATCACCACAGTCCGACCGTAAGTGTGACTGTCAATAACTGATTTAATGTTATAAATATATGCGCAGCGATATGTAAAGATACTGAGATGTACTTTTCTTCTCTAATGACAGATGTTCCTCCACCAGGGGAAGTACCTGGGTTTAGACTACAGTTAGATTACTCCTGTGAAACAAACAGCGGCAGTTTGACTGTTGATAACGCCAAAACTGTCACGGTTAAGGCACTGATTCACAGGACTGAGTGTACCATCAGATTCACAAGGATTTCAGACAATGGAAATCAAAGAGAAGCAACCTCGCTATCTGTCTGCACAGGTAAATCTGAAAATGTAATCAATGCCACCTGTTTCTGGATCTTTTGGATAAATATATATGGCTTTTTTGTGGCCTTTACTTGGGAGTCAAACAGCACTTTAAAATGCTGACAAACATTGATGGAACATGAATTTTTTAAGTTTTAGTGAAACCTTTCTGTTTTTCCCCACAGAGCCCAGCACTCCTGTGCAGAACAAAGTCGATCAGGTCAGCAGGGAGTCAGAGTCTCTGCATTCGGACACACCTGCTGGTGAAGTGGAGAGTAACAATGCAACGTGTGGCAGTGAGGTTGAAACTCTAAAAGAGAAACCCGATGGAGCATTAAGCAAGCCAACTGAAACATCTGCCCCCAAAGGTAAGTCAAATATAATCATTATTGCATGGTTGATGAAGTCCTTATAAAGAGTCAAAACAAATAAAAACAAAAGAGGCAAAACTCAAATAAAGTGATGATCAAACTAAGTTTTTCTTTCTTTTCGACCAAAAACAAAAAACTGGCCTACATAGCGGCCCCTATCGTAATGGGCATCTTTAATAACAATAAACATAGAATTGAAATCTACATTCTAGTTGTGACAGAGGGTTGTTCAGTTATTTTGGCCTTACTCTGAGACTGGCACCAGAGAGATAACTTTGCTCACTGGTCTTTCCAGCATGTTTGTTTCTGTCATACAAATAATCAGACTATTTCTTGCAAAAGTGGTAGGTACATTAGAACCTTTTGCAAGAAACAAAAACTGGCTCTGACAATGACCCTTCAGAGTGTAAGACTGCCAAGACAGTTGCAGATGACATCAATGCAGAATTGTTCCTTGAATACAAGAAAGATCTCCTTGCAGAAGACAGAAAGCTGATTGCCCAGTGTTGTGTAGTTAAAGCTATCTGGCATTTCAAGTTATTCCTTTGTCCCCTGTATGAGTCCTTGGTGAAGCTAGAGATCCTCCTGACCATGGGACACTGGCCCTTTAGATCAGTGGTTCTCAAACTTTTCAATAACGTACCCCCTTTGAAAAAGAAATTCAGCCAAGTACCCCCTGATCAGCGCAAAAACTATTTGTTAGGGAAAAAATGCCAATATAAAGAGGTACAGTACAGCGCTGCACAATCAGTGTCTGATTTATTAAAACAACAACCTTGTAACTGAGAAACACTTATGCTACATTTCAAATATTTACAATTCATTACTAAATTCATGGCAAACCAATTTTAACATCATGCAATAACACTAAGACGACATTAGTTGCATTGAACTGATCTTTTTAATAAGTTGTACTTACAATTTAGTGAGAAACATGGGCTTGTGCTTCACTGAGGATCTTTGTCATTCTGACAGGGAGGCAAACTGCAGTTATTACACTTCGCGTTTTGAAATATGTGTAACTCTATTAATATAAAACCCACACTGCTCAAACTTTGTTACTTTTCCTAAAATTGGTAAATGTATTTATGTTGGGGCGTGGGGAATGAAGAGAAAAAAATATATGAGCATTTTATGAGCATGGGATTTTGACCCCTCATATAAACATATGCATAATGCTGCACTATACTTTGCGGCCACACCCCGTTGCCAAGCAACGCTTATTGTTTAGGTGTCCTTTGATAAGCAGGCAGTCATATCATTAACTAGAACTAGCTAGATCTGATGGATTTGGACATAAACGCGAGTGAAGTATAACCGGACGTGAGAGAGAGATCAGAGATCAGCTGCTGATGACGGAGAACACGCAGCTCTACCGGATCACAGCTCCGCCGCTGTGATGGACCGTTGAGCGGAGTAATACACACTAAGAGTTAGACCTAACACACTTAGCTAGTTTATCTACTCTGGAACTAGCTAAACTAGTTATAAATATATGTATTCTTTACTGTTGGGTCACTTATTACAGGTTCAGCGAGCTGAAGCATCCGTCTATGCATGAGACGGATACTGACGGGCTGTCAGGAGAGAGGAAAAGAGAGCACCCCGTTTATTTTTCCCATTTTATTATCCAGTATTACTGTAAACTTTTGAATAAAGTAGTTAATCTACTATTAGTAGTTTGTATAAATGCATTACTTTTTTTTCTTTTTTTCATTAACATAAAATACATCTCACAGTACTCCAACGTACCCCTAGGGGTCCGCGTACCGCCATTTGAGAACCACTGCTTTAGATTGCACAAACTAGCCTGGACCATAGATTGGCCAGTTGTCCATTAGTGACCTCCTTAAGTCTTTGTAGGGTGCTTGCTGACCCAGAGGTCAAAGTTCTCTGTGAGAATGTTAAAATATAGGGGGGCCCCACAACGTTTTTTTTATAATACACAGTCTGAGACTCCAATAGTTCTTGGAGGGTGTGAAAAAGGATCTTGCGGGTTACCATGAAAAACACAGCAGAAAGATCCAGAAGGATGATGACAGAGGAGAGCGATGCGGATGCTGCTCTAACAGTGTGACGTTCTTAATTGACAGGGAGGAGGACGATCTCAGTTGAGTGCAACCAGCAACTGATCAACATCTCAACAAGTCAATACTTTGTGTTCTGCTTCTCACAACCACAGAACAAGCTTCAGTTCAACATCATCAAGACACTAAAAGAAACATTGTCTTAATAAAACTGCTTCATTCAGATTGTAGCTTCACAAAATATAGTCAAAGCAGAAATGAAATATTCTGTTAATCTGAGTGTAAATGTGAGTCTGTTTGCCTGATATGTCTGTTAGAAGCTTTGTGAAGAATACAACAATGAACTTTCAGTTATTGTTTTAAAAAGAATATAATTTCTTTCACATGTCCAACAACAAATCCAAACTTGGACTGCTCGAGACGGGACAGTCCGTCCCTCTTTTACAGCCTGTCAGTGTCCCTCTCTATGCAAAGTGAACTTCCTCACACTTTAAAATGCTGACAAACATTGATGGAACATGTATTTTTTAAGTTTTAGTGAAGCCTTTCGTTTCTTTCCCACAGAGCCCAGCACTCCTGTGCAGAACAAAGTCGATCAGGTCAGCAGGGAGTCAGAGTCTCTGCATTCTGACCCAGCTGCTGGTGAAGTGGAGAGTAACAATGATAAGCGTTGCAGTGAGGTTGAAACTGTCCAAGAGAAAGCTGATGGAACATTAAGCAAGCCAACTGTACCATCTGCCCCCAAAGGTAAGTCAAATATAATCATTATTGCATTGTTTACGATAAAAACTTAAGAGGCAAAACTCAAATAAAATGATGCGCAAACTAAGATTTATTTGTCTTTCTGTTAAATGATAACGTTAAATAATCTGACAAAGACCCTTCAGAGTGTGAGACTGACAACGTTTTTTTTTTCGAGACTGTGTCTCTCAGGGCTTCTTAACATTTATGAAACTATTAATGTGTAGCACCAGATTAATGGGAAGAATCTCAGCTAACTGAAGATACGAACCATTTTTACCAAAACAAAACACAAGTCTCATAAGAAGCTTCTAAATTACCCCTGAGCGAAACAATTCTAACGCACTGCGGCACAGAACTCAAGATAAAGATACCCTTATTACTTATCGTAACTGCACATACAATATATCCGATTAAAGCTGAGACTCCACAGATTATATAGGTATAGTATCATCACTGAGCGATCCGAACTCTTGACAGGGGAAGCAAACACAGACATCACAACACACAAAGGTAAGTCAAATATAATCATTATTGCATTGTTTACGATAAAAACTAAAGAGGCAAAACTCAAAAAAAATGATGCGCAAACTAAGATTTATTTGTCTTTCTGTTAAATGATAACGTTAAATAATTGAGCGGTTGAGAACTCTGCCACATAAGCCCATATCTGTGTTTCTCAATAAGCTGGTGCTGGGTAATTGTAGTCTTTTATTTTCTATAAATAGACAATATTATTTTGAAATTTTGAACCAAACAAAATTCTGGCCTATATAGCGGCACTTATTAGGCGCATTCACACCGCAGTACTTTTCCCACAAAGGTTCATGAGAACTCTTTAGTTCTCATGAACTAAGTACAGATTGCGTTCACACCGTAATGAGTTCCTGGGGAAGGATTAGGCAAATGAAGCCGCTGACTTCACTTCTTCTTCTTCTGCCTTGGGTTTACTGGCAGGCCGCAAACAACTTCACGGCGTATACTGCCGAAGTCCCCGGCCGGAAGTCCCCGGAGTTGGGGACTGGCTTCAGTAGAAGCTGCTGGGACTCCCAGCAGCTTCTACTGAAGCCTTCCGAGTAAATCGCCAGAACGCCGACACCTCCTCATCTCCACCGCTCCCATGTTTTCTTTTGTGTTGCCATAAGTTTGTCTTTCTGCGTTTGTGCGCTGGGCTAATGCTAATGCTAATAATGCTAATGCGAGGATAATAAAATGGCGGCTTCACAAAACCTTTTGGGAGTTTTACGGGGCGTGGTTTGCAACCCGCCCAGCCAATGAGACATAGGAACCTTTTTCTCCCACGAAAGTACCTGCTCTCTAGCAGGGACGGAAAAGGGGGTAAAAAAGGTTCTCATGAACTCATTTTAGTTTCTGCTCTTTTTGGTGTGAACGCGACATTTCGGAACTATATCGGAACTAAAGTGGGAAAAGTACTGCGGTGTGAACGTGGCTATTGTAACAAAAAGGAGCCAGATATAAAAGGTTCAGCCTTTGAAATCTATATTCTAGTTGTGACAGAGGGTTGATCAGTTATTTTGCCTTATTTTGAGACTGGCACCAGAGAGATAACGTTGCTCACTGGTCTTTCCAGCAGGTTTGTTTCTGTCGTAGAAATAATCAGACAATTTCTTGCAAAAGTTTTAGATAAATTGGGACCTTTTGCAAGAAACAAAGTCTGTCATAAAAATAATCAGACCTCTTGATCTAGGTGGTGTCTCCAGAGCTTTTGCCATTAACCAGGATCCATGAGGTGCATTTGAGTTTATGATCAATACATGTATGTCCAGGTATATAGTTTCTTTGAATGCAATTCCATTCCGGTCTTTCTTGCAAAAATCGTAGATTCATCTGGTCTAGAACTCCGTTATGCATTGCACTTGCTGCCAATGGTGTTTTGGCTGTGTATATTGCCGATGGATTTAACCTGGGGGCAGCATTGGTTTGACCTTGAGCAAGTGGTCGGGTGATAGAGGTTCAAAGTCATTTGGAACATTTGGCACTGTAGTAATGTGTTTCGGCTGTTGATAATTTGTTTACACGCACATAACTGTTGAAGGGCTTTCATCATCAAGCTGTCCATAACTCTGACATGTATGGTGGTAGCTCTGGCGTAAATCTGTCTCTTGGTAAATCTGAGATGTTTTGCTCTTTTGCAGTTCTATGTATGCACCTGCACTTACTGTCGCAAAACTACTTTCTTTATAGTCATCAGTATCATGTCTTTAGATG